GGTGATTTCAACATAGATTTCTTGGGTAGCAATGTAAATCCTCAATTACAGACAATGTTAAATTCATACGGTCTAAAAGCAATAGTTGATGTCCCAACAAGAATAGGACTTAGAAGTCAAACAGCGATAGATCAAATAATATTAAATAAATACTTATGGGATTACAACTTTAAGGTAATTGCAACAGGATTCTCTGATCATTTTGCAAAAATATTACAAGTGCAGATGCAGCATATAAATAAAAAGAGGCAAGCTGCAGTTAAAGAAGAATTCAGGACAGTTGGACTTTGTACTGAAGAGAATGTTCAATAACTAAACTACCTATTGGAGGAGTCTAGGGAACCTGTTTTTAGGCAAACTTCAGTAAATGATGCATATAATGAATTTTTAGGTACTTTCCAGTATTATTATAACATAGCTATGCCTAAAAAGCGGGTAAGAACTAATCAACTAGGAAATAAATGGGTTACCTCAGGTATAAGGGTATCAAGCACCATGCTCAGGTTTCTAAATAGATTAATGAAAGAAAGAAAAATATCAGAAGAGTTTAAAAAATATTATTATCGGTATAAGAAAATTTACAACAGAGTAAATAGCGAGGCCAAGAAATTATCTAATAACACATGGATAAATACAGCAGGAAACAAATCTAAAGCTATGTGGGACCTAATTAAACAGGAGTTAGGCAAACATAAAAAAGAAACTAGGAATATTGAAATAAATGTAAATGGGACAAATACACAGGATCCAAAAGTCATAGCTAATGTCTTTAATGACTATTATACCAGCATTGCTCACGATATCTTGAATAGAAATCCACTACAAAAAAATATTGAAGTTAATGTCAATGCAAAAAAATATAACAGTGGTAGTATGTTTTTAAATCCAACTACAGAAGTAGAAGTGGCAGGCATAATAAAAAAATTGAATAACAAAAAATCAACCGGTGTAGATGAAATCTCAGATTATATTATTAAGAAGTGTTATCCTAAGATAACACATGCTTTGACATACATAATAAACTTGTCATTCTCAACTGGATATTTTCCAGACCAGTTAAAAATTGCAAAAGTGAAACCATTGTACAAAACAGGACTTGATAAAGAAGTATCGCCAATTTCGCTGATCTCTGTTTTCTCAAAAATAATTGAAAAAATCATGCAGACAAGACTCTTATCATTTCTAAAAAACCATAGTATAATTAGTGATAAACAGCATGGCTTCTGTAAAGGGAAATCAACGAATACTGCAATTGCAGAGTTTCTTAAAAGGGTTTATAAATCTGTGGACGAGAGGGAAATAAGTATAGGGTTATTCTTGGATCTGTCAAAAGCATTTGACTTAGTAGATCATAATATTTTGCTTAGAAAAATGGCAGAAATAGGAATACGAGGGGTTGCACAAAATTGGTTTCAATCATATTTAGAAAACAGGGAACAAACAGTGGAAATTACCTATAGACATAAAGAAACTAATGAAATTACTAATTGTCTATCGCAAAAGAAACCAGTAAGATATGGTGTTCCACAGAGTTCTGTTCTTCGACCAATGTTATTTTTGATATATATTAACGACCTAGAATCTAGCTTAGAACATGGAAAGCCAACACTTTTTGCAGATGACACTACTATTCTTATAACAGGAAATAGTATAGACAGTGTCCAGAGTAAAGTAGAGGAAACAGTAAAAAAACTTTCAGAATAGTTTGAAAGGAACAGATTTATCATTAATAAAGAGAAGACAATAGCAATATCCTTTCACCAGCTTCAAAATCTACATTTTCAATGCCCTCCAATAAAGTTTCATGATACATCCATTAAATATTCAGAATATTCAAAATTTCTGGGAGTTTGGCTAGATAAGAATTTAAGGTGGTCTATGCACACCCAGGAACTAGTAAAAAAATTATGTAAAATATGCTTTGGTCTAAGAGTAGTAAAAAGAGTATCAGGGCTGGAGTCTGTTAGGACTCTATATTATGCCTACTTTCATTCTTTGTTATCATATGGAATATTATTTTGGGGCAACTCACCAAATGCTAAATTGATTTTTAAGTTGCAAAAGAGAGCTATTAGAGCTATGATGCAAATTCAGAAAACTACTAGTTGTAAACAGTATTTTAATTAT